AGCAAATGATTTGGATTTGGAATCCAGTGAAGGTGAACAGTTAACTTAAAACCTGAGTGGTGATGTTCTTACCCTCTTCACCCTATTAGAAGCAAAATTGCTGTCTGTTTATAGATATTTGCCTTGTTTACTAATTGCTCTCTTACTAAAGATAGCTGGTCTGGGTCTATTGTTTTAATTCTTAATTCTGGAGTCTTATTAAATACGTGCATAATATTAAGCACATATTTAGTCCTATTGAAATCAGTGGATATAGTTCTATGCTTAGTTCTGTATGTAATGGGAGAGGTAGTCACTAGGGGTGTGAGAAAAGGGCCATATTTGATTTGGATTCAGATTTGGCCTGGTTCAGGGGACAGTGATTCAATTCATTGATCTGGATCACTGGCCTGATTTGATTCAGCTGAATCTGAAGATTTGATGCCGATTCAGAGAATCAGCGATTCAGCCATAGACACAGCTTTAAATGTTTTTTCTACATACCTTGAGGTACGAGGAGCAGCTTGTGAATGGGTGGATGGAGACTCCCTGCCCCCACACTCCCCTGGCTCATCAGTTGGCCACAGGGGGACCCTGGTGCCCCTACAGACCCAGGAGGCACCAGTTGCAGAGCCAGGGGGTGGAGGGAGAGTCCCTCGCGTGCTCTGCAGTGGACTCAGAAGTGGACCAGAAGTGCTTCTGGTCCACTTCTGGGTCCACCACTGAGCACACTGAGGACCCCCCTGTGCTCCTGTCAGCTACTCCATTTGCCCCACAATCTCAGCGTTCATGAGTTGCCTGGTTCCTTGAGGTATGCAAAAAAACATTTAAAGACGTGTCTTATCATTGTATCTCTCCAAATTGATTCGGAGGGTTCGGATTCAATTCAGATGGATTAAAGGGTCTCCCGATTCAATTTGGATTCAGAGATTCAGCTGCCAATTCAGGCCAAATCTCTGCTGAATCCAAGCAGTGACCAAAGCTTCGCACAGCCCTAGTAGTCAGCTATGTAAGGGTTCACCACATTTGGTCTGCATTTATGCAGCTTACTTTTAGTCCCATGAACATAGACTTGGAGTGACATGTGCAGCTGTTCCTTGTTCCTGGGAGCTTTGTGGGGAACCTAGTTTAACTCGGTGTGGGGAATGGGGCAGGTTGGATCGGAATGGGGTAGTAGGTCTGAAGTGAGTTGACAAAATCAGGGACGGGGGTGTGCTACTGGGTCTGTGGGGTGGTGTTAGTTGGTCCACAGGGAAAAGAAGTTTCCCACTCACGGGGCTAGAAAAATGCTCAGTGTTGTGGGGGAGAGAAGGAGGTGGCAATAGCAAAGCTTTGAGGCTCCGGCCAGTTCCAGGGCTTTCCCAGCCCTGGGGCTGCACTGTGAATGCATATAGACATTCACAAGATTTGGTTAACCCAGTCTTGATCTAAGTTAGTTCACCTAACCCTAGTTAGGCTGGTGCAAATGTAATGCTTGTATGTACCCTTAGTATGAAGTCAGACAGACATCAGGCAGGAGGGTACTTAATCTCATTAATGAAGACTTAAGCTTTCACAGGTGACACCCTATTTCATCAGATGCTATGAATGGATTTGAAAAGAGCAGGGGTTTGTCATCTTCTCCTTCTGTTTGTTCAGAATCATGCAAAAGGGATGGCTTTTTCCATTGCTGCAGTAAGGCTCTGTTTCATACAGGTCTCACCAAGGAATCAGTGAATGAGACTCCATGGTTTGCAATTCACTGCACTTGAATGTATTCATGTAATTAAAGTAGCCCCATTTCATCATGTTGGTTTTTGATCTTCTAGTTGGGATGCACAGGCAATTTAGTTACTGCTGTGTTGACCAGTCTATACATGTCCCTCTGGGAAAGTCTGTCTGGGGTTCCAGGTCCATTTCAGGGCATCTGATTTCACATAATCTTTACTTACATAACCTTAGTCATGCCCTGTCAGTTGTCCTGTCCAACAGATGGTGCAACACTGGTCACAAAAGTCTTTCACACTTTACGCCATTTAGTTACTTCTGTGTGACTATAGAGTCAATCTACATGTGCTCTGACAGTAAATGTTTGGCCCAATGTATCCCCAGGTACACAGGTTATGGGTTGATTAGTCAGTAGGGACACCTGTTTACGTGCAGTGAGGCTGCTCTGACATGCTGTAATTACAGTGTGTCAGAGAACACTCAATTAGCCAAGTCCTCTGGAGAGTGGTAATTACTGCACTCCAGATTCTCATGTATCAGTGTCCCCACACTGAAAAATGGTGACAGGGTTGCTTTAACTGAAGCTCGTTTAATACGCTTTAGTTAAAGCACCCCTGCTGCCATTTTTCAGCACAGGGACTCTGATACATGAGATGCTCCGAGTGAGTGAATTAGAATAGCTCTGAAAGCTGCTCTAATTAAAGCACCCACACACCACTCCCAGATCACATACATAAATGCCCTGGGATGTTTAATATCTGCTTGGCTTCTCTATAGCATAGGTGAAAGACTGTGACCTGCATCTTGGGTTAGTGAGAAGCTGGTTATCATTGTAATAATCTGAGAGGTTACTCAAGGCACATGTCAGTCTGTTTTTGACAGTGGCAAAGTCTTTCTCTTGCAACATGATGCATAGATCATCAGCATACATGAAGCTTCTCATATTGCTCTGTATGGGTTGATCACTGGGATATATATTAAAGAGGACCAGTGCTAGCACACTGTCCTATGTTAGGCTGTTTCATTGTCATCTCCGGCAGCTCTGTTTCTTGTATAGTACTATGTAAAAACATCTGTTCTCCAAAATAGATTATATGAGCTTCACTAGGTGGTAATCATTTGTCATGTTGTAGACTTTGGCAAGCAGGTTATGGTGTTTGACAGTGTCATATACCACTGACAGGTCTACAAACACAGTACCTGTTATCATCCCTTTTTCAAATCCATCTTCTATATACTGGACAATGTTTAATATTTGGCCGGTGCAGTGTCTGTCTCGTCTGAATCTGGCTTGTTCTGGTATTAGATGTAGTTTAATATGAGATGAAAAGCTATGGAGAATTAGGCATCTGTAAAGCTTATAAAGATGTCACAGGAATGACACTGGCCTGAAGTTCTCTGGGCCAGAGGCATCCTCTGGTTTTAACAGATGTATTACATAGGCTTGTCACCATATTTTCAGTATTCTAGCGGTTGATGAGCAATTGTTAAAAAGGTGTAATACCCATAACTTGGTTACAGGACCAAAGTGTTTGATCTGCTCTCTCCACACATCTCTTAGTCCAGCTGCTTTGCCATTCTTCAAGTGACTTATTCTGGCATCAAATTCCTTCATTGTGTATAGCATGCTAAAATTATTTTCTTTCAGGTCAGTTGGCCATCTAACCCATATTTTAGGCTTTTTATTCAGAGCTTTACCACTGAGCAAAAGCTGATGAGTCACCTACATGGCTGTGACGTGGTATTGCTGTATTTTGCTGTATTTTCTTTGGGTCATTATTCAGCTTGTGAATGGTTAACCATGCTTTCGTGCTAGAATGGATCATATCTATAACTTCCATCAGAGCAGGGGTACTAAACACAGTAATAAATTAATTTAAATATAATAGACAGGGAAAGGGGGAAGAAGGAGTGGTGGGCAGGAATAACACTGGAAGGGGTCTTGCTAACCACACTAGGCCACAGGGCCTTGTTGCAAAGCCAGATACTAGCTGTGCCTCTTCATCACTATGGACCGCATCTTCACAGGACAGAATAAGGCACATCATAATATCCAGGGTTCATTCACCTCTCCCAACATCATATATGTAATAATATATTTTATGTCTCTCTGCTGTCTACATTGGACAGACAGGATTAACCTATATGTGAAATAATGAATGGACACTATTTGATATCAATTCCAGAAAGATATGCACATCTGTGACTGAACTCTAATCTATTTGGCTCCATCACTGACTTCCAAAGTAACTGTTCTTAAACAACAAAACTTTAAATAGAAAAGCACCAGAATATGAAATTGCAAAACAACAAATCAACACAGTCAGAACTGTGTTAAGTATGGTCTCAATATAGAATCTGGATTCTTACCTGTACTTCCCCCATCCCTCGTATTTGAATTACTTTATTCTTGGCTATTTAGTACCCCTCCTTTTTGAAAATCCATTCATAGCATCTGATGAAGTAGGTTGTCACCCATGCCTTTCTGAAATAGAATTTAATGTGCCACCCTAACCTGCCTTACGTATGTACTGGCACTCATTCCCAGAAATGACACAGAATTTTGAAACCACATATTGTGGGAAATAGAGTAGTAAAAGGGCGGGGGTGGGGGGGGAACCCCAGGGAAACATAGGTATCATGGAACTAAATAAATTCAAAGAGAAGTATATTGTATCAGCTGGACCATCCTTTGTCTAATGTAGGATTGTTCCTTACCTAATATTCCCAAATACTTTGTCAAATTCATTTTGCATTACTTAGGCTATATAGTTTAAACTATTTACAATCCTCTGATCCATTTTTTCCCTGAACTCTCAAGTATTTTCATGCCATCACATGTCTATGTTGGTGAGTTGTCACAGCTGATCAAATAACATAGTCATCCATCTGTAGCAAAAGTTGATTGAGAAGCTGAGACTTTTTATACACTTTTCTCCCCCTAGAGTATAACAATAGAATTTAGATATAAGTCTGTATCATTGTCTCATTTTACCATGTTGTGATTGTACTTAGGATGTAAGTAGAAGTTCTATGCACTGCCTCATGATGACTAAAAATGGAAGGTGTGGAAGTGAAATGCAATCAGGCAGGAAAGATTAATTACAAAAACTTGCACACTCAAATAGTTTTCAAAAATTGTGAGACTTTTATTGCTTCCATGATGCGAATACTAAATAACAGTGGCTGCAGCACTGGCATTTTACATCACTACATTTCATGAAAGAAATATTGCATGAGAGCTTTATTCATCAACTCATTTTCTGTGGAGCTGGTTTGAACGGTTTCTTTTTCCTTTTTTTTTTTTTTTACAGACATCAGTGAAAAAAAGTCATGCAAAATTCATGGGAAAAATATAGAACCTATATAGTCATGAAGATAGAGATGACACATGGAAAATTGGCACAGGTTATAATTGTTATTATTATTGCTTTACATTGCTATTGAATTGTTTATGCATTGTGTGGTACATATTGTATAATGCATTCAGTAACTGTGCAAGAAATAATGTGTTAGTTTTCTTAAATCAACATGCTTTTGTAAACCAGAATACTAAGAGACCTATATTGGCTGGCTTCATATGTATACTTAAAGGCAATATGGGAGTCCAAGGCCTTTACATAAAGAAAAGTCATGGTTGCGTGCGTCTCCAACAGCATGGGCAGGAGTTGTTAGTGCAAGTCTTCAGCCTGTAGACAGGTACAAGTATAAGGTGTAGGGCTACATACAGACATTCACGAAGCCTGAAGAAGAATCTAAGTTATATGGTTTTCTGTAAGCAGCGTAGTTTAAATCGGTAGCAATTAGAACAGACATTCATCCTTTGGTGGGGCAGGGGACAAATCTTAGGCTGGGGTCTGCCATTTTTAAACTAGTTTATGAGAGCCAAACTTCTGTTATGGGTATAGATTGGTTTTGTATGTTGAACTTCTGTTCTGTTATGGGTATAGACTGGTTTCTGATTGCTTATACCTAGAGACCTACCTAAATCATGGCAAGACAAAGGAATTTTTGCCAGCTGCTTGCAGTGCACAGCGTCAATTTTGCAGTCTTTTCATGGTGAGCCCCCCTCATTGCTGATTGGCCAAGAGGCCAATCACTCATCTTCAAACTGCATTATTGCATCTGGCTTCTTAAAAGATGGTACTGAAACCATTTCATTTTCCTGACTGGCACTTTCACTAAGTCTATGTCAGTAGCTCAGCCTCTCAGTAGCTCTCTCTCAAACCACATGCTCTATGGCTGTATTCTGGTACACTTTTATTTGCGGGGGGAGGGGGTATGGGGGGTGGTATTCCATGCCAAATCACAAGATTTTTCCCAGTGCTGGAAAAACCATCATTTTTCACAGTTTTATGAAACTAATGAAATCACGATTTAAGTGGGTCTTTACTTATACCGGTAAAAGTATAATATCTATAGCTGGCTGGTGAGGGTATAGGCTGCATCATGCCAATGCATGATTCTGCCTGAGTAACTCCTCTGTGGCAAATGGAAGAAAATGCACTATTGTCTCAATGAGATAGTAGTTTCTCATGGGGTACTGTGATTGGATATTGTTACCTACATGTGTCTGTCCCTCCAATGTACAATGTAGCTCCTAATTATTCAATTCAATATTAACACAAATTCTACTTACCTTCTTAGAACCATTTTTATAGGCAAGTGAAACATTGGTTTGTTCATTATCATCAATCATCATGATAAAGAATAGTAAATAGATTTTATGGTTGGGCTGGCAAATTTTCATAGCAAAGTTTACAACCTATATTAACTAAACAATAATACTTTGCACTTGAGGATATCAAAGTACATTATTAATATGAATGATTTCAGCTCTGCAGCATCAATAAAATAGGTTTTATAATACCCATGACAGCATATTGGAAACAGTCCAGACTTCCTGATTATCAGTCCCCTACACTATCAGACAATAATACTTATTGTACATCTCTATTGTTTAACCCACAGTGTGAAAAGGGCTGGCATGCTTAACTATTAAGTATGAAAACTGTGTCTCCAGTGACCTGGGATATTGCCTGACTAACAACAATTCTTTTTGTCACTAGAAATGACTCCACACACCCTCCCACCCCTACCTCTTCTCAGATATAGATTGCGAATATCATTAATCATCATCAATGAGTCATTCACCCACATCACTTTTTATATATAAGAACACTGCAATTTTGTGTTACTACGAGTATTGTTTTGTATTTGATGACCATATAAAATTGAACATCAAGTTGGGTCAGTTTTAACCTTTGAAGGTGAATGGAAAAGATTAATTCAGTCAATATGTCATTCAATCAGTCAGAAAAATAAGTGTGGCAATGATTTAAAGATTTTTTTTTTTAAATCAAGAACATCATTTACCCAATTAAATATACAATAGACATGAACTTAGGTTTTTTCATTCTATTAATTTACTAGAAAAAGAAAGGACAGTAGTTTTAGTATTTTTTTTTTCTTTAAACAAAGCCTTTTACAACCATTTAGTGCAATTGTTTTTGGAATGGATGAAGAGATTTTATTTATCCTGTATATAAGATTTAATTTAGTAAAAATAGGCACCAACTGGGCTACATTAACATTGTTAATGGTCCCTGGATACAAAGGCTAATTTTTTTTCAATTTTAGAAGCCCAGTGGCATGACTAAATCCATATTTAGTCATGCATATAACCAGTGAAAGTTTTTCCAAAGTTTTGAGTATCCAGAGTCTCCCACTGGAGTATATGAAATCAGAGTAACCACTGAAAATCTTAGTTTTGAAGGGAGTAGGCACAAGCTGACTTAGGGCATTTATATACACATACTTTTTTGTCCCGCAATACACCAGAGATCTGCCACTTTGGAGCAGATTCCAAAATCAAGTTCAATCAAATTAATCAAGTCTGCTCTTCACATGAGATGATGCGAACTGTGCTGCATGCAGTTGTGTAATTAGAGAAATGCACATCTGTTCTGTGCATGTCCTTTCACAGCATCTGATGAAGTGAACATCAGTTCATGAAAGTTTATGCTCTATCTATCTAACTCTATACAGTGCAAATCTACCCTGCCTTCTGCTTATTCCTGACTAACATGGTTAATTAAGCCCCTATGATCATAGCCATCCTTATATATAGATATAGATACAAAATTATATGAGATTACAAGGATTGCTAATTAAAAAAGCTCAAAACCCCGAGAAAATGGGTGAAATATTGGCTACAGTAAAAGCTGCGCTATCCAGCATTTTACAAGCTGGCATGCTCCACTAACCGGCATGCCGGCTTGTAAGGTAAAGTGAAACCAGAAGTGCCGACCGTGGCACTTCCAGTTGCTTTGAGCCCCCATGGCCTGGGGCAAAGCAGCCTGTGCTGCCAAGCCCCATGGCCCAGGGGCATAACAGGCTACGTGGGGCCATGCAGGGCCTGCAGGAACCATGGGATGGGCAGCGATGCTACAGGAGGGGTGGAAGGATGCCCCAGACATGGCAGGAGAAGTGGCGGCCGGGGCCGCTCAATTAACCGGCATATTTTGTTATCTGGCATCCCCCATTCCCGGGAGATGCTGGATAACAGAGCTTTTACTGTGTGTATATATATCTCTAATTTAGTTATTCTATAAAGTGTAAATCTACCCTGCCTTTTACCAGTGTTTTATCTGATATACTTAGACTTCTGTGAGGTGTTTGATGTAGCTCAGAACATCTGGATAGAAGTAGACTATTCAAAATCCATGTTGCACATAGTAAATTGATCTAAAACTGGTTAATATACAGGTTTGAACAATGTATGTTTTTAATCCAGTTAAATACAACATTTTCCACAAAAAAGAAAAGAGTTCAAGTCACATTGATAGAAAAAGGGACTGTATCTTAAAAAAAAAATAATTACTTTGGGAAGGATTTATGGATCATGGTGGGTAACCATTTGAACAAGATCCAGCAGGATGTTATATGGCTAAGAGAAGGGAATAAAGACTAGGGATAGTAGGAATGTTGCAGTATTTATGGATACTGATGAGAATGTTGTTACGTGTGGTTCTCATGCACATTCTTTAAAATGGGTGTTAGTAAGAGTAAAAAAAGCTATAAGAATTGATTCAAGGAGTAGAAACCTGTCTTACTGTGAAGGACTTTGGAATCCAATCAAGTTTATCAAAGAAAAGTTAAGTGGTAACTTGATCATGATTTATAAGTGCATGTATGTGGAGAAGATTTCACATGGTAGCGTACCTTCTAATTTGGCAGACAAAGGCACAACACAATACAGTGTATTGAAAATGAAGCCAGTTAAATTCAGGATAGAAAGAAAATATACATTAACTGCAAAAGTAATTAAGCATTGGAACAACTTACCAAGGGTTGTGGAAGATTCACAGTCATTTTGATGTTTTTTAAACCTGGATTTAGATACCTTTCTATTATGTTCCATAATTGCAGGATGTTGTGAACATGTACTCATTAAACTTTGAATCTTAACTTTAAATTTGACTGCTACATACATATTCAAACACCTATGTTGATTTTTAAATCGTTCTGCATCAAAGCTCTCAATTGAGAAAGTTAGTGTTGTAATATTATTGATGTTGACACCTGGCTAAAAAAAAAAAAAATTAGTGCTCAACAAAATATTTGAGCAATACTGGTTATAGTAGGACCACAAACATAAACAGTGACTTATGAGTAGGCAGTCAGAAAGCAGGGTAGCTATACACCTTTCTAAACTAACTGAATAAAAGAGAGCGAGAGAGAGAGAGCTATCTATCTCTCTATATATAGGGAGGACAAGCTTTTGTGAACCCAAATTCACTTCACCAGATGCGGTGAATTGGGATGCACAAAGTAGAAGTTCAATTTCTCAAATTGGACTTCAGTATCATTCAGGGAGAAACCTAGGGTACACGCATCCTCCCCCCAAGGAGAAAGACCCTCCTTCAGGACTTCCCTGTGCAAGAGGGATACCCCCTGCTTTTTCACCCACTTAGCCTTGTGGTCACTGACACCTGGTGTGGGGGCCTTCTTGAACATATTGGCTTCTGGGCTCCTACACTTACTACAACAATGCCGCCGCCACCACTGCCTTGGATTCTCATGCCCCCATCCTGCAGGAGTTTCTCTTAATAATAATAATAACAATAATAATAATTTTAAAACATTCTTTACTGGGATTACTGGGTCCTGAATGCCTGCTATGCTGACCCCTCACCAGGCATGCCCACTCCTCACTGTGGGGAGCAGAGAGGGAGAAGAGAAAGATGGAAACGAAAGGGGAGAAGGTATGAGGTTTTCTGCTAGAATGGGGGGGGGAGTTCTGCTACATGAAAAGACATGCAGAAAGTAGAGTATAAGAAGGAGAGAGAAATTAGAATA